CCATACCTGTGACTCTACTCTGAACCACGTGCAGTGAAATGTAGTACCAGTACTGGTCAATCCCAGCAGAGGGTTCAGACGTTGAATTTCCCCTCCTCTATAGCTGGACGGTCAATAGGCTCGTTATTTCACCAAATTTGTTCTGTCAGAGCATGTCTACACTTTCAGAAGGGTATTAACAGACTCGATATTTGTCCTCGGCAAACTGTTCTTGAATAGTCAGTCGGTGAAAGAAGTCTCGTGTGGCAGGGGGGTCATCTGGGCCTTATCACGCGGGCGATGATCAAATACTCGTAATGGAGCGGTTCTTGGCAAACTGTGAGATCGATCCCTACTTCGCCCCGAATCTTGAACGATGAGCTCGATAAGGATTTGCGAAGTAACGAGCTGAAAAATGAAGCCAAGCTCCTTCTGTGGCCACCTCTATTTTTATTATGCCTCTAAAATACACAGTAAAGAAACGATTATCAAGTCAATTAAATTGCTAAAAATAGCGCAAAGCAACGTGAAATACTTGCGCACTTTAAATTTTGGTTTCGCGCAATTGCAATCTTTGGTATGCGTTCAATATATTACACATATCCTCACAAGAGGTCAGAAAATCTGCAGCTGTCACACACACTTTGGTCAGTAAAGAATAATACTTCAGCATTGTTTGACATAACAAACGCTGTTACAGCCACGCTGGTCTTGATCATCTTACGTTTCCGGGTCGTGTCTTACCTCTTCACACGACCATGCACGTGTAAATAACCTGCGTGTGTGATTGCAGACGCCTTTTTCGCTTGTGGTATTAAAACAAGGAGGCGCGAAATGGACAAGGTCCTCAAGTTCAATTAGGCTGGTTAACGTTCCCGCCCATTTCAACTATTGCGTGTTGTGTATACTTTACGTGGTGACAGTGGTTTTTTCAGCAGTTCAATCGAACTTCAGCGCACTTCAACAATAGCTTACTCAAAAAGCTTTGATACGGTACGCTGTTCCATTCCTGGAAACTACCTGCCCATGATTTAAATAACTGATTGATAGGTCAATTTTGAGTTATTAGTAATCCATTCTTTCGTTTTAAGGCTGAAGGGAGAAAAAATTATGACCTAAAACAAAAAAAAATTTAAAGTTTAAACTGCCCTTACTGTGGTCATTTACAAAAAATGAGAGAATTTTTACATTTGCACAAATATATATTTGTAATTGTCTTAACGCCGGTGTTTACCGTCACTGCGAAGGCTGTGGTCTATCATATTTTCGGTTTCGTAGCTTTAACTTCAGACATACAATGTTTCACATGTAAAATCTCCCGATGGCCATTCTCTGCCAATAAATAAGGGTACTCCATGAGATTTGTTTTATAACAAAAATATTATGTACATCAATATTATGGGAAACGTTGCTCCTACAGTCTCAGGGGTATCTATCGCAAAACAAACGCGGATATCATTGACGCTATTCAGTTCATGCGGCAACACGAAGTGGAGACTTAAAAAAATATCCCACAGTGAGCAGAAGACCAATTGGTGGAAAAAAAGGCTTGTGATTTCTAATGCGACATAAATAATTTTTATATATATGGTGGGTCTTAAATATTGCCTGTACCTTTTTGTCTTTAAGAACTTACAATGTAAACCCTGTTGACATTCACTACTACACCCTTATGTACAATGTATGTGTCCATTATCGTACATACTTCAAGCACGGGCGAATGTGAACAACCTCTCAGTGCAGCCTTTTATTTCACATCTCTCTCGAGCAAAGTGGTATGATTTAATGGGTTTTGTGCATTTCCCGTTATGACAGAAGTCTATCTGACAATGCAGCCACGAAAAGCTTGGAATAGTTTCACTTCAGGAAAACCAAAACAATTCTTATTTCTTATTTGCTGCACTACCCAAAGGTGTAGGGGTTATAATGTGGACACTATAGATTGGCTATCATGCGGGGACGGTTGGCGATGCGTGGATGTCAAATTCCATATCGCATGGCTCCATTCGAACCTCTTTCGTTTGGTATTAACCTTTCAAGGCCGTTATATTTCGTTTTATCATTTGATCGTCGCTATGAGTACCTTTGGTTTTCACCTGTTGCGTGTAATTTCCGCTTAATTAGAAAGTTTTAATGGTTGGTTACCGCAAATTCAAACTTTTTCGTCGTTTTGCAAACTTCGTGGAAACCCTTGAGAGTTCGTAACTTAGGCTTAATGCCAAATGGTCCTGTCTTTGGTAATCTGAAAAAAAATCTGAATTGTATTGCTTTCGAATATTCATACGAAAATCCCGTACAAAGCGAGACATTTACAAGTCTTTCTATTTTTTTGGCTTCGCTTTCCAATCAGCAATGGTGAATAATTCCCAAAGGGGGGTTGATAATGATCGCATCGCGACCAGAAATATGACCGAATTAAATCACCGAAGCCTTGCTGACAAAGACTCCAAGCACAACGTCTCCCGTTAATTAAAACATGAGCCCTGGGGCTGTCGTTTAGCAAGTCGCTAGGGGGACATTGGTAAGGCTCGGTATTAGTGAGTCGTTGCCCTAAAAAAAATGGGGGGTCGGGAGAGGTGATTGCCCAAGGCTTGAATGCGGGATTAGTGTAGGTAATGGGATCACATCTTCCGTTGTTGACACTAAGTGTCGTGGAGGTGCTGACATTCATCATTTGACATTGAAGAAGAGGTCTTGAGTTAGCGGGCCATCTTGGTGACATGTAAATAGAAAGTTCCATCTGTAATCTGCAATGCTCGCAGACGTGATAGATTTGACTGCTGTTGCATCACTGGCATAGATACTATAGGGTCGAATTTTTTGAACGGGCCATTTATTGGACATTATTTTCTACACAGTGAAGTCAGTAGGTCTGTTCATAGTGTTTCAAACAATGCAGAGTTTTTTTTCTTGTGAACGTCTGGGGCAGGTCAGAGGGCAGGTCAGAGGCCTTTAATAAGCACCCTGTAATTATACTAATTTGTCTCATCCAGAGTATTGTCAGGATGTTCCAAACTAATCGTTGATACACTCTTTATATCCTTTGTTGGAAACGAAAACGACTGAACCTTTCACCATTACTGGAAAATTATGGTATTAAAATGAGTTTGAATCAATACCTCAGACTGGTGCTATGGATATGCGAGGGTTTCACTGGCAGATACTCTACGGTTTATGCATTTTGTGTGTGTTGTGTTAGCACATCAAGAGATATAAGCACGACTTTTTTAAAATTAAGTTTCATAATTAACGTCGAGGCTCAAACATAAACAGCAGCATGTGCCGAATTACGACATGTACATGCATGTTATTCACTCTGGCAGCCTCGTTCATGAAAATTGTAGTCCGGTTATGCCATCCAATCTGATTAGAGCTAAGTTGGAGGACGCCTACGCCAGGGGGTCGATGGGGAAATATACGGCGACATTAACAAGAGGGACTTCATTTCCCAGAGAGAGTTAGAGAGGTCGCGCGTGAAGGAATTTGAAGGGTGTGGTGGGAAAAACTGAGACTCAAGAGACTCTCTTTTTTTCTTGTAAAACGGCTATGCCTTTTTATTCCTTCATATTAAAGTACACCGCGGTAAACTATCAGAAACCATAACACAGAACGCACTTGAGCAGCCGGACTTGTTTTCTGCGCAGGTTTCACCGCAAGGTGACTCAGCAAATTAATTTCAGCAGGTCTAATAGCTCTTAAACATCCAGCTGAGTCCTGGAGAGAGCATCGCCATCAATTTGTCTTGCGAGGGTTTCGTGTATCACATCGAGGACGATTGGATGTGCTGTTCATTTGAGGGACCTGTGTCGCCTCTGGGGTTATTCAAATCGAAAGTTTCTGTGACCGAAATTCGTCAGTAAGATGTTCATCAAGAGCGGAGTGGAATCCACAAAGTAGATGTTTTTCATTTTGGTTTCACATATATTACAAAAAACGTTCTTTTAGAGATCACACAGATTTTTTCTTTCCGTCGCGCCCTCTGGGGTTCGATAGAATGGTGTCTTGTATGTATGTTTACACCGAATTCTTAAAGCTTGAACATACCAGCTTCACGGGATATCTACTTTTGAACAACATGTTAAGGGATTCTAAGTTGGTCAGGCAACCATATAAAAAGTTTTAATTCATCCAGAACAAAAGTGACAATTAAGTACAAGAAGCCAGATAGTTTGTACCAAAGTTCCTAAGATCCTTCGTTTCTCGGATTTGAAGGAGCAGTTGCCAATTACTAGCGGCTACACTATACAAGGACGAAATAATTTTTAAAAAGCACTGCTTCTTTAAAGGTAAAATCGGTAATTAAAATTATCTTTTTTTGCTCTGATCTGGGGTCGGACCTTGCCAACCACCTCGCTACCCACCTCGCTACCGGTATTGCTATGGACACAGTGCGCGTCACAGCCTCCGTAACAGCCGGACTCTCGCGTATGATTCATTTCAATTTCTCGCTGGACGAAGAAGTCATTGTTTTGCTCAAGCAAGCGCGAGTTACTAAGAAATATAACAAAATACTTGAATTTTAAATTCCCGTGCAGTAAAAGCTAAACAGTCATTTTCATTTCCAACGTTACATTTGTTGTATATATGAACGAATGTCAATTTCTAATGCATACTACCATGCTTTGTATCACTGACGAGCAGTTTGGCCGTAATGAAACAGCAGCAATACTTAACTGTTCCCCAAGGCGATTCCCTTGGTATAGCCAGAGTAAGATTTGCTCAGCTGCACTCCTAATTCAGTGTGTTCCTTGTTCAATTTCCAACACGATTTCCGTTTCTTCTCATTGTACCCTGTGAGGACCCGAAACACCCATCGATCACACGTACACCACACCGTCCAGATTAGGTGAAAAGGAACGTCCAAGAAACTGTTACACAAATATTATGATCCAGACGTTGTAATTGAAGGTCTTTGACGACCGAAAAGGCTTGGTAATGATGTCAATCTTCAACAGATATAATTGATGATTAATGTGGGTTACATGTTTTCTTTTCTGTTTTTCCCCCTTGTGTTTCAACAGCCGGCAAGAGAACGAAGTCAGTCGACCTCAATCAGGAGAGCTACCCTTGGAACCAGGTGGGATAATTTTATCAGCACCGTCGTCTGGTCTTAGATAACGTGATTGCATGACGCAAGTATTTTCTTTTCAAAGCTTGATTACTTCATTAGTGGGGAACTTACGTCAAACTTGTTGTTTTTATCAATCCTATGCACAGTCGTGGACAGCGATCTTGTTTTGGTAACCTTTCATTGATCTCCCTGTGGTATCAGCAAGAATGTGAGGTTTTTTTCATAAATTTCCGCATTGTGGTGTTTTATATTTTTAATTTATTCAGTTCCGTGACACCAGATTATCGCGTCGTTCTAACCAAAAATGAACATGTGAAGATTTCTTTTGCTCAGTATGGCAGCATAAGGATTAACCAGAGAACACTAAACACATGTCGAAGATTGCAGAATCAAAAACAAATAAGCCCACTTTTTACCTTGGAAAATATTGATTTAAAAAAGAATAGGAATTGTTCCGGAAAAACAATGAATTTAATAGTTGTATCTTTTCTCAACTTCAGAGAAAGATTGCGGTTAACTGCCCCTTCATCTAAACCCTCCAAATTCTTCTCCAGTTGGGCGATAGTGCCATCATCACATCAATGCTTATACATTCTGTGCCTATGTGTTTTTTTTTTTCGTTTTTCGTTTCTCACAGTATTATTTAGTTTTAAAACCTGAATGGATGCTGTAACAATGTCATTATCCTTCAAGCAAGAATATTGTTTGTATCAAAAGTGGTATTCGTACACGAAGTTAAATATGTACAAATTAAGAAGACGTATTCTTTTCGGTACATTTTACGTGTGCAAAAGGAATTATCGACCAACATGTGATTGGTTGACTTAGTTTAATTTGATTCTGATGTCAAGTCCTTTCATAATCTTCCTGTTTGTATACAATGTACGATGCAAGATCTGATGCAAAAAAGCTTCTCATCTGTGTTATAACCAACCAAACCTTTTGCTAAACAGTTCATTCATTAGTTTACTTTTTGTCTCTGGAAGATATGGGCGTGAATCTATTTGGGGGAGCAAATTGTTTCTTTTGGCGTTAAGTGATTTAACCAGCCAGTCGTGTTAATGTAACGTAGCGATTAATCACCTCGATACTACTTGAACCCAATAACACTGGGTGTCATAGTAAAATGGCAGATCACGGATACCAAGCAAATGAGTGCGTATGAAGATACAAACCTGAACTTTGTCTTTTCAAAGTGTCAAGTCAACAGCAGCATAAATTGACCTACATGTATACGGAAATCTAATTAAAATATTGATGTGAAAGCGAATACGCCAAGTGTCAACGTATTGGATACTGATAGGTCATATATAGTAGATGCTTTTGCCACATGGTATATATCAGTGCGTGAATGGAACTAAATAGCAAACTAATTATGTAGCAAACAGTGACACAGGTTACTACACTGAACTCTTTCAGATTGTTTTTTTACGAAAAGCTTTGCCGTGTAGCCTGTGCTAGGCTATATTTATGTGATTAAAATTTCGACTAGGAAAACACGCCGTTCCCCACATACATTGACAACAGAACTTAATTTCTTTAATGGAGAAGCATGAGTGCAAATTTGAATTGTTTCTAATCACACTAAATTTTGGGGATCAATGCCTAATTCAGCGTAATTATGTTGGATTTAATTTCGTCTAGTTTTAACAACTTGAAAATAATGCATGGCTTGTTGAACTGGCTTTCGTGTACTGTAAAATCTGCCGTGTTTTTCAATTTACAAGTATCATTGGTCACAAATTAGTTAATGTTTTACTTTAACATACAAATGGGCTTCCATTTCGGAGAATTCATTTTAGTGCCATTCACTGTGCACGTGCAGATTGGATTCAGTTCCCGCCATTTTTTGTTGCCAGGTGGATGCTGCGCAAACCCATACAGCTGACGCCATGACGAAAGATCAAACGTCAACGTGTATATTCGACGAAGTACTGAAAGCGCTTTCGCCGCCATGGCAGGAGCGACTACTATCGGTAGGTGCCAGGTCGTTCATCTGTAGGAAATGTCTATTTTTCAGAGACCAATATTCGGTGATCAGCAACACGCGACTTGAAAACAGAGGCTGGGCACAGATTTCTCGGTGGTTTAGTGGTCGAACCAGCTGTGTGGCCTTTACATAGGCAATTAGCTGGCCTAGTTTTGTCGAAGGTCTTTTCGTCGAAGCTTCTGCCGAGAGGCCAGATTCTATCGTCACCTTTGAGACACCCTCGTCTCTGGCCATTTCAAGAACAGAAAGGAACGAGTACTGGGGTAACAATTAATGGAATGATTCGGTAGCGAAATTGAGTCACCCTTGCGTCATCGATCAACTTGAATGCAACCACTAAAATCGCCAATATTTGTGTGGACAGTCCCTGACTCACGAATTGTTTCAAGGGTTTTATTTTTTAAGTATTAGCGGGCATACAGCTATGGCCTCCCTGGAGCTGTAAACAGGGGCGAGATTTATGGAACGGTTAATCCTCTCAAAACTTACTCGTCGCCGGCTATTCACAGAAATACGCGTTTGGTTGGAATGATATCCACCTTCAAAGGAGCTTATAACATATCCATAGTGTCGCTTTGGGGCTACAGAATTGTCAGTTGGGAATGTACTGTTATAGAGAGCGTTGCAAAAACATCGGGTGTCACAGATTCCCAAGTTCTTGCATAATGGATGCCATTGGTGAGGGTTTTGGGGTTTGATAATGCCTCCTCTCCCTAGTGGATTATCTCAAAGCCACAGTCCTTGCTTATCAAATTTTCTGTGGTGTGAAAACATACGAAGAATCACCCATTCTCGTCCAGGTATTCAGAGTCATTTTTAAGGTGCCCTTTTTGGTTTCGGTTTTGACCGTTACACAAGTTTTACTCCGTTCTGATGTGATTGTGCGTGGAGATATCTTATTGAAATGTTCCTTAGATCATGATCCACTGTTTCCGTACCGGTCAATGCATTAAAGTTTAGAATTTGCCCTGAGGGCTACCGGTTTGTCTAACACAGCTTTTCTAATAGCTGTTCCCTGGCACGAGTCTTCCTTTATCCCAAATCCACCGACTTGAGCGTTGAAGGGAGGTTCTTAGTGAGAAACAGAGTGACTGCATTACCTTGAGCTAGCTACCGATACTTCAAAAAATATACACAGTGTGTTATCCACTACGAGCACATCCCTGCCGTCTTCCGCAGCACTTCACAGTCCCCAACCTTGCCCTCCTATTTACCTGCTGTAGGGTAAGCACTTACGACATGTCCATTAAGCGGACCGTAGAACCAAAATTTGCAAGACGATCGCCATCAGTGAACCGAGGGAGGGAGGACACTGTTTGCATTTACATCATGTGTTCTGACGTTGATAACAGAACTGGTGTCAGAATTAGACATTGACGTGAAGTTGTCGAAATGTTCATCACGTCACCACGCAAACTAAGATATTCTAGTCCCCGGGACGATTTGGCTCTTGTTTTTGACCCGCTCCTGTCATTACTTCGTAAAAAGCCGGGCAGATGTTTTAAGTGGAAAGGAATTTTGAAGAGCAGTGCCTTGAAAATAGCAAGATAAATGGCTGGCATTTTTATCCGCGCCCAGTTGTTATAGGCAAATTAAATGAAATCAAATTTCAATTCTTTTTAACAGCAACATCCCTGTACTGATAAGATGTCATGCGGAAATCCGTGTTGTGGAAGTGTTCCAATCAGAAAGTTGTGTATCATATGAGTTTATAATGTGAGGAAAGGTGAACCTCAGGAGTTAAAGTTATAGAAACCATAGTATTTTTTTTATTTACATTGTCCGCCAAATACCTAATGTTATTTACTTTTGGTGTCTACGATATCGAATATCGGTTTCTTAAGTTTGGTTGGCGGCATGCACAGTGTTTTAATATAGTCATAATTATCACTGGAACTTCCCGCGTGAGAGATTTCCGAAAGCCGCTGAAAGCTTGAATGGACAATTAACAACGTACAAACTGACGCTTAATGTAGGCGTTTGGCCAAGTTGCATATCACAGTCCGTGGATCGTTTAAGACGCTAGTTGTCAGTCAGTCACTGAACTCTTCGCCTTTCACTGACACGAGAAAAAAAAACGCGGGAGACGTTTACACAGCACTAAAGTTTGGGTTAAGTGCGAGCGTGTTGTGGTTAATGCCAAATTCATCACTTCTTTTTGGCGCAATTTCCCGATCTTGACAAGTATAAAAATGATGGAGGGTTGGAAAAGGAGAGCGGATGGCCCAGGCAACGGACGGCACACCACTCAGACGGCAGGAAACATGTCTAGGACAATGATGGTTTAAAGCTCTTTTATGGCTGGCAGGCAGGTAATTTAGTCAGTTCCATTGGTAAACAGCCTTCCGGCCACAATGCGCTTTAGAACACTGTGCCTTCACAATGTGCGCCTGTGCTTGTTCGTGGGCACGTTCGGCTTCAGGTACTTTTATATTTCTGCAGGGAGCCGGCTGGTGGGCCATCCAGATTAAGCATTCCAATCTCGTTTGTCAGTGGAATTAATTTGCTTGGTTGCATTTTGCATGACAGTGGTCATGGTAGTTGTACTGTGATTGGTAACACTTCCTTAAGAATGTTATTGAAACTTAATGTTTTGGGGAAAGGTTTATTTTCTCATCAAATATTTCAAAACACAGAGTGACAGTCAATCGACTCAAGTGACGTCATGTTAAGAAACTGAATTTAAAATAAGAGCAGAATCGCTTTATTTTGCTTGAATGTAATACATTTGAACATTCTAGTCGATCATCAATGTTGCTGCTTATCACCATCCTGCCACCATCATCATCTTCAAAGTTAGTACGTGCTAATAATGATATTCATCCTTCTGTAAAAACTAGTATTTGTCGAAGTTTTAACAGTGGGCCTAACATTTCGTAGAACTGACAAACGTGTTGGCCAGTTTATTTAACCGTCCATCCTTATGACTAAGAAGTCATTTTTAATACACGTGAAACTGTCACCCATTTTAAAAGTGCAATGAAAAGGGAGTTAATTTGTAATAATTTTCTCCAGCCACATTAAAACGCTGTTAATCGAAACCCTCGCGCCCGCAGCGTGTAAATCAACACGGGAAGGAATGCTCGATTGAAACTGTCACAGGTCAGGCGTTTGCATGGGCTTTGTAATCACAGCTTCGCCAGAAAATTTACGGACCAGAGTGGACCACGCGCAGCGTTCTGGCGCCATGAATACGCCCTCAGACGGCATGCAGCAGGGAACGGAAGCTCCAGAAAACGAAGGATACTGCATCTCCTCCATTGGGTTTACCAGAGTATTGTGCATTGCTTAACACCGAACCACCAGCACATACAGCAAACATTCAGATTGGAAAAAAGTACAAATATTTTGAGGCTTTCCGTGCAAGAGAATATGGTTGGAACCTGGCGCAGTTGTTTACCTTTGAAGTAATTCACAAGGGCATGAATTGAGTGTGATAACGAATTATCACTCTCACGAGCGATTGCATTCCCTCCAAAGCCAAGTTCCAAAGTGGTTTGTCCATGAATGATACTGTGCCTTGAAATGGATCGATGGATTTTAAAAGAAGTGTATCATACCTCATTAAAAAAATCCTCCAGAGAGTGAGGGTCGACAAACAACGAGTTACCTCTTGGTATTAATGGATCATTGTCCGATCTATATTCCTGCGGTGCTTGACATATGAGTTTAATTTTGATTGAAGGTCCAGAAATCAATTTACAACAATCTCTTTGAGACAGAGCAAACACTGCAGATGAAAAAAAGGCAGATGTTTTAAATGCTTGTCAAATATTGCCGGACTATCTTGGTTATTTTGTATGTCACTGGTTGTAAGGTATAATAAGTCAAACACCTGAGTGTGGCAATATCTGTGTTGATGTGCACGACGAGACTCGATCACGGTTTTTTTTTTAGATTTTATCTAAACCCATCGCCAAATAAGAAACAAAGCTTGGGTAATTTACAAACAACGCCCCCTGAGAAGTCTTCTCTGATTCGGTCCTGAGATGGCCCAATTCCTGAAAACAGGGGTTGAACGTGCTGTCATGGAGTCCAACGTCAACACGGCCAATCTATAGATGGCTGGTATTTGAACCCGATGCCCTCGTCACGGTGACAGCGCGTGGTTAGACCGATTACCTGACCCCAGGCTATACGAATCCCCTCAGAGGTTAGGCTTAAAGAATACTGATTTCATTTTCCTTTTAAGAAAGACGTTCCCCGTCGTTCCTCGCTAACAAAAAGCCCCAGGAAGCTTCGTAAGAAATTCTAAAATTGAATCAGCAAAATCGAAAATCTTTGAATTTAAACACCAGCGAGATAAGATCGCGAGAGAGTTGAATTAGGAAAAGGAAATGAGCGGCGAAAAACAATCCTTTGCCTTCAAATTGGGTTGACAGTCGCCCAGAATTCTAATGGCAAACAACTTTCTCCTTGGTCAGCCGCAAGAACGTTGATCAGTGAACATTGATCCGGCCTTTCTCAGGGCCTTCTCATGGGGATGTACCTTGAGGGGCTTTCTCACGCTTTTTTCGAAGGAAGTAACATGAAATAGACCAAAGAAAATCTTTCTCTCATTATTTTTTAATCAAACTTTTGGACTCCTTTTTTGGAGGGAAGGCCCCCCCCCTCAATGCGCCAATGAGTGTGTACTGGTCTCATTGAAGAAAATTGTAGAGGGCGTTTTTGCTGATAGTTCTCTGGGTTGTGCGTCATTGCCGGGAAGACTCTCAAAGGCGTGAAGTTGTCCGCAGAATAAACACATCGGTTACAATATCCAGTGGCCAGTGCTGGCAAAATAACCATATCATCTTCACTCATCCAAGTTCCTCTTTCGTGTTCTGAGACGCGCTGAAAGGCCCTGTGTACATTGAGACCGCGGGTAGTGTGTTTGACCACCCTTAGCGCTTACTATTCCCTCCCCATCAACTCACACACGTACACCATCTCTCCACGATAGGTCGCTTCTGTATACCCTGGGGGTTACTTCGGCCGAGCACCTGC